TCACTTGAACCTGGGAGGCGAATGTTGCAGTGAACTGAGATCGTGCCACTGCACTCCAGCCTGGGTGACAGAGTGAGACTCTGACTCAAAATGAATAAATAAATAAATGAAAAATTTAAATGCCAGAAGAAACAGTTAAAATAATTTAAAGTCTGTCTCTGGGGAATAAAAATCAGGAATAGGGAAGAGTGGACAAGGAGTTGCTATTCTTCCTGGTAAGTTTTGACGCACTATTTGCTTTCTTTTTTTTTTTTTGAGACGGAGTCTCGCTCTGTCACCCAGGCTGGAGTGCAGTGGCGCGATCTTGGCTCACTGCAAGCTCCACCTCCTGGGTTCACGCCATTCTCCTGCCTCAGCCTCCCGAGTAGCTGGGACTACAGGCCCCCACCACCTCATCTGGCTAATGTTTTGTCTTTTTAGTAGAGACAGGGTTTCACCGTGTTAGCCAGGATGGTCTCAATCTCCTGACGTGGGCGTGGTGGGCATGATCCGCCCGCCTCGGCCTCCCAAAGGGCTGGGATTACAGGCGTGAGCCACCGCGCCCAGCCTATTTGATTTCTTAAAGTATTATACATATTATTCCGATAAAAAATTAAACTAAGGAAGGAAAATATTTTCACTAAGGCATCCAGTCTACATAGTTTTACAGGATTTTTCTACGAGCCTTTAAGAACCACATAATTCCTACATTATATAAACGATTTCAGAGCATAGGAAAAGGCAGAAAGCTCTCCAAATTCATTCTGAGGCTACCATAACCCACCATGGTATCAGCTGGGATTACAGGCGCCCGCCACCATGCCCAGCTAATTTTTTGTATTTTTAGTAGAGACAGGGTTTCACGTTGCCCAGGCTGGTCTTGAACTCCTGACCTCAGGTGATCCACCTGCCTTGGGCTCCCAACGTGCTGGGATTACAATATATAAGGCTCATTCACAATAACAACAAAAACCTTACAACAAGAATAAGTTGAACATGAAATGTGTAAGACCTATATAAAAAAAACCATAAAACTTTACTTAACAATGTAAAAGAAGCCTTAAATAAATGGGAAGACATACCCTTGGATTAGGAAATTTGATATTGTCAAGATGTCACGTTTCCTTAAATGAATCTATAAATCCAACACATTCTCAATCAAAAACCCACAACATTTTTTATAGAATTTGAGAAGTTTGCTGGGTGCGGTGGCTCACGCCTGTAATCCCATCCTGGCTAACATGGTGAAATCCCGTCTCTACTAAAAATACAAAAAATTAGCCGGGCATGGTGGCAGGCGCCTGTAGTCCCACCTACTCGGGAGGCTGAGGCAGGAAAAAGTCGTGAACCCAGGAGGTGGAGCTTGCAGTGAGCTGAGATCGCGCCACTCCAGCCTGGGTGACAGAGCAAGACTGCATCTCAAAAAAACAAAAAAGGAACTTAATAAGCCAATTCTAAAGTTCACATGGGGGAAATGCACACAAAATACCCAAGATATTCTTTTTTTTTTTTTTTTTTGAGACGGAGTCTCGGTCTGTCACCCAGGCTGGAGTGCAGTGGCACTATTTTCTTTTCTTTTTCTTTTTTTTTTTTTGGAGACAGAGTCTCGCTCTGTCGCCCAGGCTGGAGTACAGTGGCATGATCTCGGCTCACTGCAAGCTCTGCCTTCCGGGTTCACGCCATGCTCCCGCCTCAGCCTTCCGAGAAGCTGGGACTACAGGTGCCCGCCACCACGCCCGACTAATTTTTTGTATTTCTTAGTAGAGACGGGGTTTCACTGTGTTAGCCAGGATGGTCTCGATCTCCTGACCTTGTGATCCACCCACCTCAGCCTCCCAAAGTGCTGGGATTACAGGCGTGAGCCACTATGCCCGGCCAACAAAGAATATTTTTATAAACTCCCAAGTAGTTAGAATTACAGGCATATGTCACCTTGTCTGGCTTGATTTTTATACAGCCGGATCTGTCATTTTCCTTTTTTTTTTTTTTTTGTGAAATAGCCTTGCTCTGTCACCCAGGCTGGAATACAGTGGCACGATCATGGCTCACTGCAGCCTTGACCTCCCAGGTTCAAGTGATCCTCCCACCTCAGCCTCCTGAGTAGCTGGGATGACAGGCACATGCCACCATGCTCGGCTAATTTTTAAATTTTTATAGAGATGGAATCTCACTATGTTGCCCAGGCTCCTGGGCAATCCTCCACCTCTGACCCCCAAAGTGCTAGGTTTCCAGGCATGAGCCACCACACCCAACTTCATCTTCTTTTATAGCTTCTGGGTTATATGTCTTGCTTAGGATGGTTTACTCCACAATCCCAAGCAAGGCAGGAGGATCGCGTGAGCCCAGGAGCTTGAGGTCCGCCTGAACAACATACTGAGACTTTGTCTCTAAAAAAATTTAAATAAAATTTAAAAATTTAAAACCTATATACACAATTTATATAGAATGTAAATGTACAAAATTTACATTGTAAATAAGGTAAAAAAGATAAACAGATTGGGAATAATGTATATAGCAAATAATAACTTACATAGCAAAGAATTACACAGCTAGATTTATGAAGATCTCCTACAAATGAACAAGAGAAAGACAACCCACTAGAAAATGGGCAAGGGACACAAATAGGCTAGAAATAAAAATGTACTGGGGGGCGGGTGCGGTGGATCATGCCTGCAATCCCAGCACTTTTGGAGGCCAAGGCGGGCGGATTCTCTGAGGCCAGGAGTTGGAGACCAGCCTACCCAACATGGCGAAACCCTATCTCTATTAAAAATACAAAATTAGCCGGGTGTGGTGGCATGAGCCTGCAATCCCAGCTACTCGGGAGACTAAGGCAGAATTGCTTGAACTTGGGAGGCGGATGTTGCAGTGAGCCAAGATTGTCCCACTGCACTCCAGCCTGGGCAACAAGAGCAAAACTCTGTCTAAAAAAAAAAAAGAAAAGAAAAGAAGAATAACAAAAGAAGTATAACCCTAATTGTACCGAGTATCTGAACTAGCAAGGCTCAAAACTGAACCCATTATTTCATTCAATTAATATCTGAGCACCTACTAAGTGCCAGGCACTGTGCCAGTTCCTGGCACAAAGATGTCAACCTTGAACTTGAAAGGTGTATGTTTGTGGATCTGCAAATATATAAGGTTCTGCTTTATATGTCATATTAAGCACTAATAAGACCTAGTCACTAAACTAAGAACTTTATATACATTACCAAACTATCATTCAATTAATGTTTACTGAGCACTTATTTTTTGACACTGCACTATTTTTGTCTATAGAAAGACAAACAGGCCGGGCACAGTGGCTCATGCCTGTAATCCCAGCATTTTGGGAAGCTGAGGTGGGTGGATCACTTGAGGACAGGAGTTCAGGACCGGCCTGGCCAACATGGTGAAACCCCATCTCTACTAAAAATACAAAAATATGAGCCGGACGTGGTGGCATGTGCCTGTAATCCCAGCTATTCGGGATGCTGAGGCATGAGAATCGCTTGAACCCAGGAGGTGGATGTTGCAGTGAGCTGAGATCGTGCCACTGCACTCCAGCCTGGGTGACAGAGTGAGACCCTGTCTCAAAAAAAAAAAAAATTAGCCAGGCGTGGTAGTGTGCGATTGTAATCCCAAATACTCGGGAAGTTGAGACAGGAGAATCGCTTGAACCTGGGAGGCGGAGGCAGTGAGCTGAGATTGCACCACTGCACTCTAGCCTGGGCAACAGAGCGAGACCCTGTCTCGAAAAAAAAAAAAGAAACACAAACAAATACAAACACGGTCCCTTCCCTCATGAGGTTCACAATCTAGTGGCGAATGCAGGCATTAGCCAAAAGAGCACACACATATATAAAGGAAAATCACACAGCGTTGTAATGTACAGAGTAAAGAGGGCCCAGCTGAGGCTCAGGGAGAGTTTTCCTGAGGAAAGATCTGGCTAATCCTGTGGGATGACAGAAGTGAATTAGTTCACAGGACATGCTGGGATAGAAAGGAACCACGAAAAGCACTTCAGGCTGTGGGGAAAAGAAAGAGATCAGCCTGTTACTGTGTCTATATAGAAAGAAGTAGACGTAAGAGACTCCATTTTGTTCTGTATTTGAGATGCTGTTAATCTGTGACCCTACCCCCAACCTTGTCCTTGCAAGAGACATGTGCTGTGGTAACTCAAGGTTTAATGGATTTTGGGCGTGCAGGGTGTGTCTTTGTTCCTAGAAAAGCTAGGTATTGTCCAAGGTTTATCTCCATGTGATAGGATGAAACAATGCCGCTAAAAGGTTTATCTCAAGGCACAGGATTTTCCTTTAAACTTATTCATGTCACAGAGATCCTTGTTCTTATGTCTTACTGCTGATTTCCTCCCTAAAAACGATCCTATTGTCCTGCCACTCCCTTATCTTTAAGATGGTAAAGATAATTATCTATAAATACTAAGGGAACTCAGAGACCGGTGCCGGCGTGGGTCCTCTGTAAGCTGAGCGCCGGTCCCCTGGGCCCCCGCTTTTCTTTCTCTATACTTTGTCTCTGTGTCTTATTTCTTTTCTCAAGTCTCTCCACCTAATGAGAAACACCCACAGGTGTGGAGGGGCAGGCTAACCCTTCATCAGGCATTTTCCATCAAACAGAGATTATGGGGGGAGGGGGGAGCGTTGGCATTAGGACATACACCTAATGCAAATGATGAGTTACTGGGTGCAGCACACCAACATGGCACACGTATACATACGTAACAAACCTGCACATTGCGCACATGTACCCTAGAAGTAAAAGTATAATAAAAAATTAAAAAAAAAAAAAAAGACATATTACTGGGCCAGGCATGATGGCTCACACCTGTACTCCCAGCACCTTGGGAGGCCAAGGTGGGAGGATTGCTTGAGCCCAGAAATTTGAGACCAGCCTGGGCAACATAACAAGACTCGATCTCTATTTAAGAAAGAGAGAGAGAGAGAGAGATTACTTCAGAGCAAATGACAAAACAGAGCATTTTTCAGATCACAATTCCCTTGTTAAAGCTTCCATGTACTTACTGAAGAAGTGAAGAGGAATGAAGAAAGATATCGCTCAAGGTCTCTGCTGTAGAAATTGTGAGCTGAATGGACTTTGGGAGTGAAGCCCACTTTTGAAGCAGGTATGATTTCCACTCATCCACAGGCAGATCCATGCTGCTTTCGATCTATAAAACGAGTAAGAAAACAGGAATCTTACAAATGCACAATTTTAGAAAATCAAGAGTTTGGCCCCGTGCAGTGGCTCACACCTGTAATCCCAGCACTTTGGGAGGTCGAAGTGGGTGGATCATGAGGTCAGGAGCTCGAGACCATCCTGGCTAACACAGTGAACCCCGTCTCTACTAAAAATACAAAAAAATTAGCCGGGCGTGGTTGTGCACGCCTGTAGTCTCAGCTACTCGGGAGGCTGAGGCAAGAGAATCGCTTGACTGGGGAGGCCAAGGTTGCAGTAAGCAGAGATCACGCCATTGCACTCCAGCCTGGGCAACAGAGGGAGACTCTGTGTTAAAAAAAAAAAAAAAAAAGAAAAGAAAATCAAGATTTCATTCAAGGAAGCCTAAAGCAATAAAATCAATTCTTGCGGTCTTTTCCTCTAGTTTATACGCTAAGGAAAGATCTATATTCTCTCACAGCAATTCACTCAACATCCTTCCATTCAGAAATATTTACTGAAAGACTACTTTGTCACAGGCACTACGCAGGTGATGGTTATACAAAGACGAAGCAGACTAGATAGCTATCATCCCTGTCCTCTTAGTCTTTTTTTTTGTGCGTGAGACAGTCTTGCTCTGTCCCCCAGGCTGGAGCACAGTGGCACGATCTCGGCTCACTGCACCCTCTGCCTCCCAGGTTCAAGCAATTCTCCTGCCTCAGCCTCGGAGTAGCTGGGATTACGGATGTGCGCCACTACTCTTGGCTAATTCTTGTAGTTTTAGTAGAGATGGGGTTTCACCACGTTGACCAGGCTGGTCTCGAACTCCTGACCTCAGGTGATCCTCCAGCCTGGGTCTCCCAAAGCGCTGAGATTACAAGTGTAAGCCACCGCGCCCGGCCTGATCCCCCTGGTTTCTCAAGTCTGAAACCGGAGACACTTCCCCAGAGTTTTCTTTCTCACCCACCCCAGCAACTATTCAATTAACAGGTATTTCTCTCTCTTATATAGTTCAGCGTTCTCTTTCAACCCCCAGGTCATTCCTTCGGTTTAAGTCCTCACCATCTCGTCTGGCATTCTTCCTAGAGTGTCATAATCAGTGTCCATGCCATTTGGCACCACCCCCCACTTTCAATCCAGCCTCCAACACTGAGACAGAAGTCAGTGCTCTGCCTTAAATTCGTCAACGCTACTCCAAGCATATCGGGAAGCCCAGGACAAAATCGTCCTTACTTGACCCTTGGCTGACTTTCTAATTCTCAGGTCTCACTTGTTCCTCTGCAGCCTTGCATACTGAACTACTCATTGCGATCCCCGGCTTGCCAGGCTATTTCATCTCTCCAAGGTTTTGACAGAGGCTATTCGTGCTTTCCGGACCAATCCTACCCTGGCTTATGGAGTCCACCTGGAAAATTCCCACAGGTTCGTTCTTCGACTCGGTTCCAACGGCACCTCCTCTGGGAAGGCTTCCCTGGTTTCCAACACTCTTGGGGCCCGTACCACGTCTACCTGGAGCTGGGGCTACTCACGGCATAAAGTGCCCCCACACACTGTCCTCTTCTCCAAGGACAGGGACCAGGTCTGATTCCCCTTCGGAGACGCCCCCCACACAACGGTGCCAAGCTCAGGGTTTGGCCCCGGTCGAGAAGTCAGCCCCGCGTTGCTGGAGGAACCGGGTCACTGCTGCGACTCGATTTAGCAGCTGAGGTCTCAGAGAACAGCTTTAACCTCCTCTGGGCTACCAACCCGTGCACTCACCGGAAACCGAGGCGAAAAAGCCTGGTGAGCCCGCTCCGAGGCGCCCGGAACTGGGCCGCGGACTCCCTCCCCGCGCCCGCGCAGCTCCTGGCGCCCCCCTCGGCGCCCCGCCCCGCGCCCCGCGTTCCGCGCCAGGCCTCCCTTGGGCCCGCGAGCGGGTCACGTGCGCCGCGCCTCAGCCAATGTGGCGGCTGCGCAGCGCCCGGGCCCGCCCCTGGGCCGCGCGCACGTCGGGGGCGGGAGCGGCGCACGCAACTCCTCGGGCCAATAACTGCGCAGCGCGCGGGACCCCGGTGGGGCAGCTCGAGCTGTCGTGGGGTCCGCGCGGGAGTCGGGGCGACGGAGCCATGGTCGGCCAACTGAGCGAGGGGGCCATTGCGGTGAGGAGGTGCTGGGGGCCGGGCCGGCGGTCCGGGATGGCTGCGGCCCCGAGCCTCGCGGAGTGGAGAGGGGGAGGGGAGCCCGGGGCGACGGGGGATGAACGCGAGGGGAGAAGGCGGGGGGCGGTGGGGACCCGCCGAGCGCCCGTCTAGTGTCATCACCCCCTCCTCAAAGCATTCTTCCGATCGTCTTTGAAACATGCTCACGTTTTTCCTACTTAAGAACAAAGTAAATAAACGCTTGCCTTTCTCTGGATCTTCCACCTGCGGCCACTTTCTGTTTCTTCTCCTTTCCTGCCCCGCAGCCAAACTTCTTGTCTGGTTTCAGCCACTTCCTTTCCTCGCCTCTCATCAACTCTTTAACCCACTCCAGGCATCCCCTTGATCGCTGTAGAAAACCCCGGCTGAAGGGACCAGTGGCCTCCAAGTTGCTAAATCCAGCCCTTTTCCGTTTTCAGCTTACCTGAGTTCTCAGCAGCGTTTGCGTTTGAGCCCTGCTGCTTCTGCTCACACCCTCTTCCTTGGGTTTTAGTGGCTCAGCTTGGCGGGTCTATCCCCGTCTTATTTGCAGGCCCCTCTTTGGAAATTTTTGTTGACTCAAGGCTCCCTCTAGGCCCTCTTGACTCCCAAAGGCAATTTCTTTTTTTTGTTTTGTTTTGTTTTCTCCAGCCTGGGCGACACTCACTGTGTCGCCCAGGCTGGAGTGCAGTGGCGCGATCTCGGCTCACTGCAACCTCCGTCTCCCGGGTTCAAGCGATTCTCCTGCCTCAGTCTCCCAAGTAGCTGAGACTACATGTGTGCGCCACCACATTCGGCTACTTTTTTGTGTTTTTATTAGAGACGGGGTTTCATCATTTTGGCCAGGCTGATCTCGAACTCCAGACCTCCATTGTGTCGCCCGCCTCGGCCTCCCAAAATGCTGGGATTACAGGCATGAACCACTGCTCCCGGCCCCAAGGCAATTTCATTGCCATTTATTAATATATGTCAGTTGCTCACAAATTTCTTTGTACTGAGCCACCTTTACTCTAAAAGACAAACTTCTATAATCTATCTGCTTATTCCATGCTTCAGAGGCTTTTAAGTTCAATATACATATCCCAAAGCAAATTCAGTATCTTTCTAAATCTGGGCCTCTTGATCCCTATCTCCACGAATGGTACCATTATCTGTTCAATTCAGTGCTAACCAGAGGTTGAGAAATCATTCCTCCTACATTGTCCATCACCTGGGTGTCCAGTTCCTCACCAAGCGAAGTGTATTTTACCTCCGCGTAGATCTACCAACCCCACCGGCTTCTCTCCATCCATACTGGCACCATCTTTTTTTTTTTTTTGCCCGGTCTGTTCACACTTCCACTCAGCATACGTTCCTGCCACCATTCCCACCCACAGCATACTCTCAGCCTACTCTCCAGTCACCCCCACTTTTTTTTTTAAATTTAGATTTCTGGTATTTTTCATACTCCTACCTTCTACCATGGGGCATTTGAACTTTTTCTTTTTTTTTTGATAATTTTTTGTATTTTTTGGTAGAGATGGGGTTTCACCCGTGTTAGCCAGGATGGTCTCGATCTCCTGACCTCGTGATCCTCCCGCCTTGGCCTCCCAAAGTGCTGGGATTACAGGCGTGAGCCGCTGCACCCGGCCCTGAACATTCTTTTCCCTCTGCCCACTGCCTGGATGGTTCTTCACTCTTCCCCACACTGGCAAACACCATCTTCATATCTCAGCTCATTTGTGACTTCCCTTACTAGGCTAAATCCCTTTGAGATCTCAATTCCTGTTCATTCACTTATTGATTTATTTGTTTTTTCTTTTTGAGATGGAATCTCGCTCTGTTGCCCAGGCTAGAATGCAGTGGCATGATCTTGGCTCACTGCAACTTCCACCTCCTGGGTTCAGGCAGTTCTCCTGCCTCAGTCTCCCAGGTAGCTGGGATTACAGGAGCCTGCCATGGTGCCCGGCTAATTTTTGTATTTTTAGTAGAGATGGGGTTTCACCACGTTGGCCAGGCTGGTCTTGAACTCCTGACTTCAAGCAATCCACCTGCTTCAGCCTCCCGAAGTGCTGGGATGATAGGCGCGAGCCACTGTGCACAACCTCATTCACTTATTAGATGCGTGAATTGAGGCAAGATACTATGTTTCTTTTCTGTAAAATGAGGGCAGTGATATCTATTGCATAAGGTTAGTAGGAGGATGGAATGAGTTATTAAATTTAAACTGCTTAGCACACTGATGCATAGAAAATGCTCAGTATTTTTGTTACCTATTAATAATTACAGATATAATTTTATGTTTGTTGATTTGAGTAATCAGTTTATTTTTAAAATTTTTAAATTAGTATTTTGTTTGTTTGTTTGTTTGTTTTGAGACAGAGTCTTGCTCTGTTGCCCAGGCTGGAGTGCAGTGGTACATTCTCGGCTCACTGCAACCTCTACCTCCCAGGTTCAAGCGATTCTCCTGTCTTAGCGTCCCTAGTAGCTGGGATTACGGGTGCCCACCACCACACCCTACTAATTTTTGTATTTTCAGTATAGACAGGGTTTCACTATGTAGGCCAGGCTGGTCTCGTACTCCTGGCCTCAAGAGATCCAGCCACCTTGGCCTCCCAGTATGCTGGGATCACAGGCTTGAGCCTGGCCTAATCAGTTAACTTTCTGTAAATTCCATGAGGCCTGCAATCGTGTCTGTGTTATTTTACTCTGGGTTGTATCCCCAATACCTGGAGAAGTGCTGGCAAGTTTTAGGTGCTGAATAAATGCTTGCTAGTTGCATGAATGAATGAGGCAGTGGGAAGAAAGGGACAGGTGAATGGGGAAGAAAGGCAGCTTGGGGGAAAAACAGGAATGGGAAGAACTGTTGTTGGACTCAAGTGAATATTTAAATAAATTAGGAATGTGTGAATGCTGAAACCTGGGAAGTGATTTTAAATTGTAGCCTTCATTTACTTTACAGCTGCTGCCTTGTGTCTTTAAGACAAATTAAGAATGTTTCCAGGCCAGGCGCAGTGGCTCATGCCTGTAATCTCAGCATTTTGGGTGGCTGAGGCGGGCAGATCACCTGAGATCGGGAGTTTGAGACCAGCCTGACCAACATGGAGAAACTCTGTTTCTATTAAAAATACAAAATTAGCCAGGCGTGGTGGCGCATGACTGTAATCCCAGCTACTTGGGAGGCTGAGGCAGGAGAATCTCTTGAATCCAGGAGGTAGAGGTTGCGGTGAGCCGAGATCACGCCATTGCACTCCAGTAACAAGAGCAAAACTCCATCTCAAAAGAAAAAAAAAAATAGAATGGTTCTTCACTTTTAAAAAGACTGATCATGGGCCAGGCGCAGTGGCTCATGCCTGTAATCCCAGCACTTTAGGAGGCCAAGGCAGGTGGATCCCTGGAGATTAGGAGTTCGAGACCAGCCTGGCCAATGTAGAGAAACCCTCGTCTACTAAAAATACAAAAATTAGCCGGGTGTGGTGGCGTGTGCCTGTAATCCCTGTTACTTGGGAGCCTGAGGCAAAATAATCGCTTGAACCCACGAGGCAGAGGTTGCCGTGAGCTGAGATTGCACCACTGCATTCCAGACTGGGCGACAGAGTGAGACCCTGTCTCAAAAAAAATAAAGAATGATCCTGGAGATATTTAAATAATTTGATAAGTTCTTTTTTTATTTTTTATTATTTTTTAGAGATGGGATCTCACTCTGTTGCCCATGCTAGTCTGAAACTCCTGGGCTTAAGCGATCCTCCCACCTCAGTTTACCAAAGTGCTGGGATTACAGGTGTGAACCACTGCACCCGGCCACATTAGTTTTTGTATTCAAAATTTTATAAACCTATTTCCAGTGTAGGTGAAGGATTTTGTTCAGAAATGAAAAATGAAAGTTTCGCATGTGTTTGTGATGATGGAGTGAGTTGAAGAACTTTTGTTGACTTTTATTATCAGCTAAAGCAAGTACCATTTTCCTTCAAGAGACGCAGGCCACAAAGGGTACGAACATACCACACAAATAGTGGAGGCATTTGAGCAAGAGCCACATGATAAAATAAGAGATGATGCGTGGAGCTCTTGTGGTAAACAGAATAAATGGCATTTGTATCTTAATTAATTATAGAATGAAAGGAGAAGGGAAGTAATGTTTTTGACTATTTCTAACATGACAGATGCTTTAATAGCCAGTACTTAAGTAACCCTATAAGATAGCTATTTTTTATATTCCCATTTTACAGAGGAAGGGAGTACAGAGAGGTTAAATAATGTGTCCATGGGGTGAAGATTTGAACACATGTGCCATTTTTATTTTATTTTATTTTGTTTTTGAGATGGTGTCTCACTCTGTTGCCCAGGCTGGAGAGCAGTGGTGCAGTCTCGGCTCTCTGCAAGCTCTGTCTCCCAGGTTCACGCCATTCTTCTGCCTCAGCCTCTGAGTCTCTGGGACTACAGGCACCCGCCACCACGCCCAGCTCATTTTTTGTATTTTTAGTAGAGATGGGGTTTCACCGTGTTAGCCTGGATGGTCTCGATCTCCTGACCTCGTGATCTGCCTGCCTTGGCCTCCCAAAGTGCTGTGATTACAGGCATGAGCCACCTTGCCTGGCCGAACACATGTGCCCTTGAGTATTACATTTTGTTGCTTTGTATACTTACTAGGGATTTTCTTTTTTTTTTTTTTTTTTTAAGACAGGATCTCACTCTGTTGCCCAGGCTAGAGTGCAGAGGCGCGATCTCGGCTCGTGGCAACCTCCAACTCCCGGGTTCAAGCAATTC